CTAGTTGTGGAGGACGTTGCTTCACTGGCCCAAGTTGGCACCATCATTGCGCTCTTCCCGGGCGAGGCAGATCAGTCGCCGGCTTCTGGACAGCTGCTCACTGCGGCTGCTGGCCGCTCACGCTGACTGCTGGCTACACATGGTAGCCCATGGCAACCCACTGCAGCAGGGGCTGCAGCCTACCCCAGCTCCAGGTCGAGATGTTGTTCAGCATCTTAGCTGTAGAGGGCAGTGTCACTGGCCCACATATGTGGGATCTGAACCGGGGCCCTCTGGCGTCCCAAGCCAGTTCTTAACCATCGCGCCACTCTGCCGGCCCATCCAGTGGTTTTAAATTAGCCTTTACTCACAGCATGTAAAGTATAGCATAGGGAATATAGTCAATATAGTATTGTAACAGCTATATATTATGTCAGGGGTAGTAGATTATGGGGGGTTAGCAATTTCTGAGGGTGTAAATGTCTATTATGTTGTTTTGTGCACCTGAAACTAATAAAAAAAACCAAATTAACCTTTGCTTTTCTATATTAACTGATTTTTTTAAAAGAAACATAATTATAGTTTAATTTTTTCCCGTTATACTGTAGGAATTTTCCTAATGCTAAGAGGGGAAAATCATGTGAAGATAAAATTGGAGCCAACTTCTAAGTGTGCTTTGAGAAAGAAAAGACACATGAAAAGGACTGATCTTATGTTTCTTTCAGAGACCTGCACCCTGACCTGAAGGAACATTTGAAAGAACTTAGAAAGCATCTTGTGGAGAGCACCAATGAAATGGCACCTTTAAAAGTTTGGCAATTGCAAGGTAATAAAAATAAAAACATAGAAGAATCATTGGCCTACTTTTTGAGTAAATTTTGTGGTATTAAAAAAATGTAGAATTTAAATGTAATTGTATTTATTCACATGATTCTAAGGGTACCACAGATTTTCAAAACAGAGTGGTTAATTATGATTAATCAGAAAGGAAAGGAGGAGCATCCTTTTGCAGACAGATGACACTATGCAGAAGTAATATATGTAAATGATTGCCAGATCTTTCTTTCTGTGACCAGGTACATAAACTTGTATCTGGCTTATGTATCTGGTTACACAAATACTAGAAACATAAGGTATTTGTCTTGGTCTTTTAAAAAATTTTTTATTGTGAAATACACATTTAAAAAAAGAGTTTCAGCTGTACAACACAGTGCAATAGTTATACTTTTTTACCCCTCAAAGTGACCACCCTCTACCAATCTGCCGCCCCACTCCCCCCCCAATATCATACATATCGATTATAGTTTCCTTGACTCCACTCCCACACTATACTCCACGTTCCGTGACCATATATATATATATATATATTCACTTATAGTTGACATACAATATTGTACAACATCAGCTTCAGGTGTACAGTGCAGTTATCAAGCCTCTACCCCATCCATGAAGCGGTCTCCCTAACAAGACGTGTGACCATCTGACACCCTACAAAATATTTACAACATTATTAATTATATTCCTCGAACTGTCTTTCATATCCCTGTGGCAATATTGTAGTTACCTATTTATGCTGTCTAACCCCTTCCCTTCTCCCTCATCCCCACCCCCCCTCCCAAGTAGCAACCATCAGTTGTTCCTCTATATCTCTGAGACTATTTCTGTTTACTTTGCTCATTCTTTCAGTTTTTTAGATTCCATTGTCTTGGTCTTTATGTGTCTATATGCATACATTTATTAAACAGTGTATCTACCTAATGTTAGGCATGTCAGTATGGGAGAATGTATGTGTACTTTTCTGGTCCAAAGAAATATATATCAGGTTTTTTTCCCAACATAATTTACTAAAGTCTTTTGTTATACTTTGTGATTTGTTGTAAATTCAGAAGCGTGAAAAGGATTTGGGATGGATTTATCCTGTGCTAAATGTTTTAGTATGTGCCCTAATGTTTTATGCATGTAGATCAAGAAACTGTTAAATACTCTAGGGACCTATGAAGAAAATCAAACCTGAAATTAAACCATGGGCACTCTCTGAAATGGTTGCATTATGAGGCATTCTTAATTACCAAGAAAATGGTGGGAAATAAATGTGTGTTTTTCCTATTTCTCATTGCAGTAGATTAATACATTTTATATTATATTTGACAGATCTAAGCTTCCAGACTGCTGCCCGAATCTTGGCTGCCCCTATTGAATTAGCTTTGGTGGTTATGAAGGATCTTAGTCAAAATTTTCCTACCAAAGCCAGGTAATTAGAGTAATAAGCCTTTGAGGCATTCTTCTTCTTGACTTATAGCTAATATCTTCATGTTTAGATGTAAAATTAAACAATAAAAATATGGAAATACTTAGAAAATGAAAATTCTCTTACTACCAGCACCGTACTGCTAATGGTACTCTCTTTCTGAGAAGATGGCAAGACTGCATTGTGTGGTTGAAGAGACCTGTCTTGGTTGTGTTCTTGACACTGTGCTTCCTAGTTGTGGGAACTTTGTAAATAAACGCTTTCCTCAGCACTGAAATGCGAATAACGACACCTGCCTTTCAGGATTGGAAGAGTTAACAAAATCTAACGTACGCAGACATAACCGATCTAGGGTCTCACAGGGATGATAGTGTTTTTCTCCCTGAGGAGTTTTATGTACATCCTCTTATTTAATCTTTTTTGTTTGTTTGTTTGTTTGTTTGTTTGTTTGTTTGTTTGTTTTAGCTGAGCCATCCTGCAGCTCAGCAGCAGTTCAGCTTGGGCTGTGAATGAACCAGCGACCCTGTTGCTTAGAGCTCACACTCTTGAGTGAGCTCTTAATCAGCTGAGCCTCTTGGCCGGCCCCTCTTATTTAATCTTTATGAAGAAAATGTTCATCCTGACAGAATAACGTTTTGAATGCAGCTTTTCTGATACTGCTTTCAATTGTATAACGACCCTCTGTATCTCATAAATGCAAGGCAAAATTGCTTTAAAAGCCAAAGTTTTAGAGACTAATGACTTAAATGAGTGTCAGTGTTTCTTAAGTCACTGAATAAGGTGTTTTGACTTCTGATAGGAGATGTTTTGTAAATAAATTTAAAAAGTAGTTTCAAAACTAATCAAATAGACAGGACTTATACATCATAGTACATTCTCCTTTAGTTCAGCGTGCTATTGATGATAACACATGTAGGATTCTGCCACCACCATAAGTGCTTAAGTAGGACAAGCAGTCTGTTGCCTTACTTCATTTATATTATCCTTTAGCATGTGAGCTGTGGACGTCATATACAGGAATGGAACTACATCTATTTAACTAAGATCTTGGAAATAGCTGTTCTTGCATTAAAATACTTTCCCTTACTGCTATTTTTCCTTGGTATTGTATCCTGTAATAATGAAAATATATTTATCAGTTGTAAAGGTTCAAGGTTTTTATCCATTTAGTTTTGTGTGTGTGTGTAGCTTATTGAACATTTTGTTGTTTTGTACTTAAATATAGGGAGATATAGGGAAATTGAAGACATATCAAATATTAAACAAAGCACTGACCATGTTTTTATTTCCTTAGAGCAATAACAAGAACAGCTGTGAGTTCAGAACTTAGAACTGAAGTAGAAGAGAATCAGAAGGTATTAACCAATGGAAAATAGTGGCCTTTCTGTTTTATGTCTTTAAAGATAAAGAACTCTGAGTTAAATCAGTGACATTAATAGTTTGAATCTCCTTTTATCAAATATGGTGGTATTTTGATTTATTTGTATAATTTTTTTTTTAAAGATTTTTTTTTTTAATTGGGGAATTGGGGGGATGGAACAGCGCTGGGGAATTGGGGTAAGGGGAACAGACAAGTTGCTGTCATTTTGTTCTTCAGTGTAGTTGTGGAGGACGTTGCTTCACTGGCCCAAGTTGGCACCATCATTGCGCTCTTCCCGGGTGAGGCAGCTCAGTCGCCGGCTTCTGGACGGCCACTCACTGCGGCTGCTGGCCGCTCACGCTGGCTGCTGGCTACATACAATAGCCCATGGCATCCCACTGCCACAGGGGCTGCAGCCTATGCCGCTGTCGCAGGCGACCCCAGATCCAGGTTGAGTTGCTGTTCAGCATTCTAGCTGTGGAGGGTAGTGTCACTGGCCCTCATATGTGGGATCCGAACCGGGGCCCTCTTGCGTCCCAAACCAGTTCTTAACCATCGCGCCACTTGGCCGTCCCTTCTATAATCTTTTTTATATTTTTAGTTTTTATTCAAAGTTGAATAGCAATATAATTCAAAGCACCAATGGTGCCACCAATTTATTTGGAATAATAGCACCTCCCAACACATCTCACTCCCTTTTGTGTTGTCCCCCTTCCCAGAAACATTTGCTTGCAACTCTTAGCTGATTCTTTTGATATTTATCGCCAGACTTCTAGCAAGCTTAGATTGGTACTTTATTTTTCAGTGTCAGACCTCATATATTGGCCTCCTATTACAAGGATGAGGTTTAGCTTTCTTTCACTGACCCCTTTCCCCATGTCTACCACAACTCCATATTGGCATTTTCTCCATCTCTTCACTTTCCCTGTATTTTTATGTCATGATTTTATCAAGTTTTGATTTGCTCCACTATGGACTGGTTGTTCTTTATGTCTAGTGCATAGCAGTTATCCTGGGGACCTTCCTTTAATCTCTTTTGTTGCATCTCCAATTTTTGGATTCCAGGTCTTTGTTGTTGGTTTATTCACTTATTTTGGTACAGTAAATCATTCTTCATGAGAAAGGTTACATGCAAACTAAATTTCAGACTCTGAGAATCAATCAGTTTTCCATTTCTGTTTTTATTCATAGCTTGGCTGGGTACAGAATTTTAGATTGGAAGTCATTTAGAAGTTTAAAGGCATTGCGCCTTGTAATTTTGGTTTCCGTTGTAGCTATTGAGAAGTCTGAAGTCTTTGTATGAAATCTGATTTTTCTTTCTGGAGTCATCTAGGATCTTTTTTTTTTTTTTACCTTAATAATCTGAAATTTCACAATGATATGCTATTTTAAAAATTCTCTGTATTGATGGGTAGTTGGTGGGCCCTTTAAAGCTGGAAAATCATTTTCCTTAGTTTGGAGAAATTTTCTTGAGTTATTTATTTGCATTTCTTCCATCTGGTTCCTCTTTTCTGTTTTCCTAGAACTCTGTTTATTTTTAAGATTTCACACCTTCTTAAAAGCCTAGCATGGCCTAATTTAAAAACATCTTTTCTTTCCTTTTTTCCAATTCTTTTGTCTTTTATTTTTAAGCTTTCTAGGAAGGATTTTCAACCCCTTTGTTGAGATTTTTCCTGTAGTCCTCAAATTTTTAATTTCCTAGTGTTATTTTTGTTCTTGGTTTCTTCTTTTTATAGTGTTCTCATGTTTCTGAAGGTATCCATGGTGCATGTGTATATTTTCTTCTCTCTGCATAGTCTGTTTCTGCTTAAGTTGCCTTTCTTTTTGTCTTGGTCTCATCTTTAATATTAGAGGCTTTCCAAGATGTCTGATGATCTGTGGCTAGCTGCTCATATTGAAAAATGAGGCAGTCAAAAGCTGATTGAAAGCCCTAACGATGAGGCCTTTTGACTGTAGGCTATCCTGGAATGGCTATTTCCTAGGAACCCCAGTGACAGTATTTTTAACCTTTTCCCCTGAGCTCTCCAGTCTCCAAAAAAGGATCTTCTAGTCTTCTGTCTGGAGGGTGAAGTCTGGCTGCCAGAGTTGTAGAAGCCAAGTAGGCAAGAGCACTCAGAAACGTCTACTCAGTCCCCTGTTTTCAGTGTGGGATCCTCACACTCAGTTGTGCTTCACTTCCCATAGTTCTCAGATTCTGTTTTACTCTTCCAGTGGTGAGCCTCCATTGTTTTGGAGTAGAGGGAGTGTGACTGCTGTTTTTTAATTTTGGATTAATGTCTTGGTTTTTTTTGGATACATACCTAAGAGTGGAATTGCTGGGTCATAAGGTAGTTCCATTTCCAGATTTTTGAGATACCTCCATACTGATTTCCATAGTGGCTGCACCAGTCTGCAGTCCCACCAGCAATGCACCAGGGTTCGTTCCCTTTTCCCCACAACCTCACCAGCATTTGTTGTTTGTTGACTTATTTATAATAGCCATTCTGACCGGAGTGAGGTGGTATCACATTGTGGTTTTTATTTGCATTTCTTGGTGGGCCTTAGTTTGAAGGTTTAAGTGAGTGTGGGGTTTTGAAACCCTTTTAGATTGGGCCCCTGGACTTCATCACGAAGGCCAAGATGTTTCTGACTGCCATCACAACCTCAGTTAGCATCACAGACAGGGAAAAGGAACAGGAGTCCTCTTTTATGAAAAGCGACCCTCAGCGCTTGACTTACTTGACTCCCACCCCCACGCCCCCATTATAGGGGGAGTGGTTTTAATTGTTGGAAGGACGGAGGAGAGGTGTGTGCCACATATACCCACAGTGTCATTACAGTGTAGTGAATGCTAAGAAGGGTCTGTGGGAATACACAGAAGGAAATCTTAACCCAGCCTTAGGCCTTTCTATGGTACATAAGAGGATGTCAATATTTACATGTAATAAAGTCAGAAACCTGGAAATTTCTGTTAAGCATTCTCTTCCTGCTAATTTTTTTTAACATTTCAGTATTTCAAGGGAACATTAGGATTACAGCCTGGAGATTCAGCGTTGTTCATCAATGGACTTCATATTGATTTAGACACGCAGGATATATTCAGGTATGGGTAATCTTTTTCATTCTCTGAAAAGTTTTTACACTGGGTAGCTCCTTGGGATCCCTTCAGATTGTTCTCCTTGCTGAGGCATGTTGTGAAGCCTGATGGCTCACCAGCCCCAGTGTGTGCGTTTGGATAGGCCCATGTTCTGACCAAGATGGGTAGGATGACACTGGGCCATTTTTTATCATGATGTACATTTAAGGCTTTGGACACTTAAGATCCAAGTGTCTTTTCAGAATGCCCTTGTAGAAACTGTAAGTTTTCCTGTTAACCATGGAAACAGAAATGAGCAGTTTCTTTTGCTTTTAGGAACATTATGAAGTTGGTTTGTTTATTCAAAATGCTGCCTCTAGTGTCCCAGAGGATGGTCTGTCTTACATATGTTATTTGCATGCCTACCTTTTTGTTTGTTAAAATGTGATTCAGAACTAAATTGCTCTAAATTGTCCTTGTGAATTTTTGGAGTGGGGTGTAGACAGTCAGGTGGAATTCACATTTTATTCTTGGAATTAACATTGGCCCAGGTAACACTATGGCTTTGTAACAGTAAAAACAAAAGCTATTGCTAATGTTTCAGAAGATGTGGTTTCCACAGTAAGATTATTGTAATTGAGCTTATGTTCACATACTGCTTTACAGAGCTAGTGCAAAATTAATGAAGGACACTTTAAAAGATTTGGTTTTGTTTTTTATTAAAAAATATATCTCTTTAATTTTTCAGAGTATTTACTTACTCACTATAAAGAGTTTTAAATAATACAGAGATAAAGGAACTAAAAAGTAAAGACTTCATCCTGTCTTATTTCTTCCTCCTCCCCAGAAAACCTCTGTTGAATGTGACTTCCTCCAGACCTTTTTCTGTGATCATAGGTGTGTGTGCCTGTGTAAATTGATACTGATACCAAAGCATATATTAAACATATGGAATCTAGTACTTCTTTTTGGTTTATTTTATTTTACTTTTTAAAGAAATTTTATTGGGGAACAGTTTGTTTTTCCAGGACCCCTCAGCTCACAGTCAAGTAGTTGTCTTCAGTCTAGTTCTGGAGGGCTCAGCTACTTAGCCTGTGTGGGAATCAAACTGGCAACCTTGGAGCCTGTACTCTAATCACCCGAGCTAACCGGCCGCCCTTTTTTGGTGTTTTTTTAAATAAACCCTTCATTTTGAGATAATTATAGATTCATGTGCAGTTGTGAGAAGTAACAGAGTACTGTAGTTCATTTAAAATCATGCGATGTAAAATCCACATTTAAGATTATTTCATCCTCAATGTTTTGTCTATATTTAGAGATAATTTCTGTATACAGTATGTTGATAAGTATAAACAAACATGAACCAAGAAGCAGGTCCCACCTGCTTTGTCTTACATACTTTGACAGGATGAAGCAGAAGGAAGAGCTCCCTTTTTTGATTTCTCAACAGGTTTGATGGGGATTTGAGTTTGAACTGATACATTTTTTTTCATGGCAAGGATTCTGTTTAAAGCTTTTTCTACCATTTTTTTTTAGTCTGTTTGATGTCTTGAGGAATGAAGCTCGGGTCATGGAGGGCCTTCATAGACTGGGGGTAGAAGGCCTTTCTTTGCATAACATTTTGAAGCTGAACATCCAGCCCTCGGAGGCCGACTATGCTGTTGACATCAGGAGTCCCACTATTTCCGTAGGTATTCTGTGATTGCGTCTGGGGCATCTGCCAGGCACTTTGTTACGGTGTCCTCACTTGGTTTTTATGAGAGGTAAGGTATTCCTGCCATCTCTCTTGTTGGCATCAAAGATAGACCACACCTGCTTACATGAGGCTATGTGTGTATAATAAAGTAGGTTCTTAGATGCTCCAAAAGCTGCATTATTATGTTTGATATGGTAAGGCAGTGATTTTCCCTTTTTTGTATCCTGCGAGGATTCAGTTGAGCATCTCTTGGGAAAGAGTGTTTGGTTTATATTTTCTCAGTTGCATACAAGTCTTGTGTGATTTTGTTTAAAAACATCAATTTATAGCCAATAACCTTTTTTACAAGGCATTTGAGATTTTATATGTGAAGGGTTTATGTAAATTAATATCTGCTCTATGGTGTCTGGGCCTTTGTCTTCTCATCTGTAAAAGAGGCTGGAGGGAACAGAGCTGACTTGGGCAGTCATGGTGAACGTGAGACCAGCGGTAGAGATTTACCTGGCACATCCTTGGTTTCTGTACTGTATTTATTTTAGGGAAATTTTTTTGAAAAAACATGTAGAATCCTGATGGTCATCACTTGGTGATATAACTGCTTCTTTGATTAATACTGTTTTGTTGTTTGTTTTTTTGTTAAAATGTTCTTACTTACAAAGAGTAAAGACACATTAACAACCATGTGCCCATCACCATACTTACTAAGTGTTAACATTCAGTCATTTAGTGTCAGATGTATTGTTTTCTTGGAAGAAAATATGTTTCCGTCAAAGCCCTCTTTGTATCTTCCCAGTACCATCTCTCCCTCCCTGCGAGTGATTCCTCTTCAGGAGTTGGTGTGCATCCCTCTTGGCCCTTATTTTATTTATTGAGTTTTTAATTAAAGTTTATTGGAGTGACAATTGTTAGTAAAGTTACATAGATTTCAGGTGTACAATTCTGTAATACATCATCTATATATCGTGTTGTGTGTTCACCTGTCCCTTATTTTATCATTTGATTCTCTACTATATGTTCTAAAATTTTGAAAATGCCGTATCAGTAACCTTAATCAGTTTTCTTTATTATTCAATAATTTTTGCAAGACATATGTAGGTTTATACATATAGATCTAGTTTTATCATATCACGTTTTGTATTTTATTTTTTTAAATTTTTTTTAATATTTCTTTTTTTTATTAAATTATTTTTTATTATGAAATACACATTTTTTAGAATTAGTTTCAGCTGTACAACACAGTGCAATAGTTATACTTTTTACC